GGACGAGGTGATTCACGCGAACAGACATGTCCCATTTTTCGTTTATAGGTAGGTTTTCGCGACTACCAGTAGACCATATATATGAGGTGTATTCACCCTATTTCGTGAAGGTGATAAGGGACTGGTAGTTGAATTTTTCCACAATGATATGAGTAGACCTTGTGGTTCAATCAAACTTCGAATAGCCTTGTTTTCTCAAAAGGTATGAGAAAACCGTTTTGCACCAAATTGATGGCCCATCCCCAAAAGAAGGGATTCCGAGGAAGTAGAGGAAGATGCATATGAAGTGACGAACAGCAAGGCACTTACGGATTTGGAATGTCTACAGCGGGTGCACTTGATTAGCGTTATCATGAGAACCCTCACGGAAGTCATGCTTGGGAGTCTTAGGTTGATTTAGTGAGGATGCAGTTTTTAGAGTAGTAGGCCCGGTCCTAGATGTGGCTAAGTGCTACTGAGCGTAAGTTGGCGGTGGTTATCACCAGCACTAGCCCTTTACAATGAAGCTGTAAACAGAAGGTGAGGAGTCAAGGCTATGGCTATTCACTAGTTGTCTTATGTTCGACACATTTGGACACGACGTTGATTCCGAGTCATGCATGTTCGATGCGACGTCAGTCCTACTTTCTTGAAGAACCTCATCACTAGTGATCGCCCTCTTTACCAGCTAAAGCAATTTAGGGAGAAAAAGAGAAATATTGCATACATAAATAATGGGATCGGATTCGAGAAGGGCCTATCAAGCTTTTAAACAGACTTTGATAGGAATATATCCATTTTTGTAAGGTCATGAGATGCCATTCTTCAAGCTATGTTCCATTGTGGGCGAATATAGCTACTATACTGACAGATGAGTCAGGCCTGTCTTTCATTCTTGTCTCTTAATCTCTCTAACCTATTATCGTAGATTTGAAGGTAAAGAAAATTTGTAACTAGACTTTATCGCGAATTTAGTGATCTGGACCTAATAAACAACATTTAAATGTTGCTCACAATACACAAGTTGAAGGGAATTCAAAAGGATAGCAAGTGTGACAATCACGATTCTGTGACCCTTTCACCACAGGGCTATTGCACACGTTTCATCACACGTACAGGGCGAGTCCTGCGAATAAATTCTCTAGAGTAAAGTTTAAGGTAAACGGTATTGAGGGCTTATAGCAATTATTGAGCTGACTTAAATTTCGAGTGAAGGTGTTTAGTGAAGAGATTCTAAAGTCGATCCCACCAGAAGGCGATCAGCTGTCGATAGGCTTTACTAGAGCTGTTTCCGAGGCAATCTTGTTCGATTCCGGTGAAAACGTGCAAAGCTTTCGTCCGTCATATGACGAACACCATCAGAGCACGGTATCATCCTTACGACTAAATTCAAGCTAACGAGCCAGGAAAGCATAACGGCTGATCCATAAAAAGCTGTATATATAATCTAGATCTGACGAAAGCTTGGCACGTTGAAGGAGATTACCTCGGAAGCTGCGTCGGCATGAATGTTCCAGCAAAGCCA